TATCTCTAGAGAAGTGGTGGTCCGACAGAGGTGAGGGCCTCAAGTGGTGATCCGGCGAAGGTGAGGGCCTCAAGTGGTGGTCCGACAGAGGTGAGGGCCTCAAGTGGTGATCCGGCGGAGGTGAGGGCCTCAAGTGGTGGCCCGACGGAGCAACGATGTCAGGCGGTGGTCCGGCGAAACTCAGGCGGTGGTCGAGAAGGTGCAAGGAGGCAAGAACAATCTTCAATCTCTCTCTTTGAATCCTTTGGCTTGGTTCCCTTTTCAAGAGAAAAGGGAACTCCATTTATAGATTTCCTAGATTGGCATGGCCCGTAAATAGGAGGATCAAGGGCAAATGGGGAGTGGCATGGGTGGACGGACGATGTTGAATCCCTTGATCGTGGACCGTTCGTTAGACATTTGAAGGTCATAATGATGTCGGAATTCTGCGATCTTGGGTTCGTTGGATTTGTCTCGTCGAGCCGCTCGATTCGACTATAAGCATGTCACGTTTGGAAACCGTTTGGTAACCCAAATTGTGGTTTGAACCTTCCAACAACGCTTCGGATCCGTGATTCGAACCTATTTGGGCTCGGATTGAGTCAAATTTGGTGTCATTGAGTTTGTATTTTTGAGACGTTCAGTTCGATTGTAAGTTTGCTGAAATCGGAACTTGGATGGTCCCAATTTTAATTTTGGAAGTTTACAACTTGATTTTGCATCGAGATTCATACCCGGTCAAGATAATTTTTTGATGATGTGCCACTTATATATTTTGATTTGCATATATTTTGGTGTATTAGCTCTCCATAAGAAACCTAACCCTAAGCTTTTCTTGTATCATTATGCTTCTTAGATTTCTAGCATATTCTCTAGGTCCTTGGGGCAACTGCACATGTCGATTACAAACCACATCCAAATAAGAATTCAAGAATACAAGATAATGCCATGATAATTAGCTTTAACATTACCATCTTAAAAAATTTGTATAGCACCAAGCTTTACCCTACACTAAATACCAAAGTATCCTTGCGTAACTTGGGAAACTGAAACCATAATAGCAGCATTGACTATGTCAAATGAGTTGACAGAAACGCAAGACATATCTCATGATTATGCTGTTCAAAAAAAAAAAAAACAAGATTTATATAAGGTGATGACTAGTTATTTTCAAAGATTAAACAAATGAATGCTCGAGTGATATTCATGAAGACACAAAACGTAGCATGGTAATCCTTATATCATCTCCTACAAATAAGTCCTTCTCCTCCACCTTAAGTAAAAGCAACTTAAGGTGATTAAAAAATATCAACACTAGTCTAAGCATAAACCATTCTGCTAATGGCAACTCCAAGGTGAGGTTTTTAGTCTACCTAAAAATTCCTGTTGTGTTGCTGTCAATATACAATTAGTTTCCATCAAGATGAAAAACAAATAAGTAAATAAAACGAGAACAGTATTGTATAGTACCTATTTGGTCTTTTCTGTAGCAAACTACATTCATTAAATAAAAGAAACCTGCAGCGGATTGATGTTGGTACTTAAAAGAAATTTCCCAGTAGATGGGAACCTTCTGTATTACTTAAACTGATAAATTTCAAGGGAATTGCGCCCAACATACCCCGCATAAACTAAGGAGCATCCTATATACCATCTTGAATGAACACTTGGTAACAGATTGAGCCTGTTCCATGGAAGCTATGTTCAGATCATTTACCTCTCTTTTGGTGGGAAATACACATATACATGTCTTGCGCTTAATGTATGGTCTTTTATAATAAAAGAAATCAATCCTACCCTTAGAAAAAACTTTCAAAAGAATTAAGTACTATTTTTCTTGTATTGTAGGGTGTATCATATCTAGAAGTTTAGCCTGCACATTCACAGCTGAATTCAAAAGTAAGTTATGATTTAAACAAAATTTATACATAAATAATTCAAGTTTTTGTTTCGGTTTTATAGATCAATCAAAATATTTCTTTCAGCAGCAAGGCTTCTTATCTTGTATGTAACACATTCTGGATGGATAAGCACTACCAACATAGATGGGTTCTAGCAAAAACAAATCTCTCAAAGGAGCAGAGCCAAGTTATAAGAGCATGACCATCTACCGAACCTCCGATCAGCCTAAGCGGAACAACCTATTGCTAAAATTTCAGCTCCAGAGAGCATAACGCAAGTTCAAATCTTTGTAGGAGAGACAAAATAGTCTATGTCACGTATGCTCAAAATTGATTCCTTAAATTTACAAGATCAAAAGCACTATATATTCTGGGAAGAAATGACAAATTCCAATCAAAGTACCTGCGCTGCATGATGTAGGAGGATCCTTCTGCAGATCCTTCAATTCCTTAGAGATTCTCTTGGAAGCCATGGGCCAAGGCCAAAATATTCCCTCGAAGCCTCAGATCGAAAAGAAGGAAAGCAGCGACGACCCTAACAATGACGAAAGAAGCTTGGTTGAAGATGGATTCTGCAACTCTTGGATCCTCCTGGCAGAAAAAGCTCGGCGTAATTTGGGGCAGATGATGTAATGGCCGGCAGCAGCCTACGGTTTTGAGAATAAAAAATAAAAAGTGGAAATACATTTTAATATTTTATATCATATTATTTGTATATTTAACATCTTAAATTTTAATATTTTATATTTATTATTTATAAAATAAAATAAATATAAATGCAATGAATACAATATTAAAATTTATAGGATATTATGGATGTTAATAATGAAATATAAGAGTGACATGTCTATAATACTATTATAAAAGCCGTTTGAATTTCTTTTCGTATCTAATCTTGACCTTCTATTTTAATTACTCAAATTAAATCTTAAATTTTCATTTCAATTATTTCAATTATAAATGATTAATAATTATAATTTTACTCATATCAAATATCATGTATTATGCTTATATATTAATTAATTTCGTCTATGATAATGTATTAATTAATCACCATTATCATATACGGCTCTTATTTAATAGGTTAAATGTTTGATTTATCAATAAATTTAATTAGCGGTATTGCAATTCATTTAAACCAATTAACCTCGGTTAAGACTCATTTTCCTATTCACAAGTAGATTTCTGAACTGCTGAATGTTCACCTGAAGCAGTCGAAACATAGAGGAGAGTCATGTTGGGGGTCAAGAAGCTTTGGGAATAGGAAATCTCTATTTCAAATGAGGTCATTCTGGTGGAAGAGCTGGATGATGAGGAAGAGGAAGAAAGTGATGTAGCTGCATCTTATGAGGCACGATGTGGACATAGTAACGTGAGATGGGGAGTGGTGATCCAAGGAAGAGGGATGGATTGCTCGGCATGCTATACATAGAATACTTGCAAGGTACAATCTTCAAAGGGATTCTGTACGCATTTTTTATTGGTGAGAGCTAAATGTTTTGGAGATCTGGTAAGAGTTCAACTTAAGAAAGCTCAGCTGCAATCTGAGAGGTAAAAGATGAAAGGTTTCAATTGCTTGAATGACTTGAATCTTTTGATTGTTTAATTTCTTGATGGAATCATTTGTTGAACTGGGATTTGTGTATTTCGATTTGCATATTTCAAATTTTGATAATGATTTACAGTCAATGAACTTTCCCTTTCTTATTTTTCTAAACCTATTTTGCATTATACTATTTTAAAATCAAAATAGTGTCTTCTAGGAGGGGGAGAAGATATTTAACGAATAATATTGGTTATTTTTAAAGAATGTAAACATCAAGTTTAGCAAGCAAAATAAAGCATGAACATGAATGATTCTTGCAAGCAAAGAAATTTTACTGTTGCATGTGAAAAACAATGAGATGGAGATATCAATCATTTTCAAATTTTCTTTTTTCGTTTTGTGAAAAAAAAAAAGTTAAGTAATGAAAGGAGATAAAGATTTATATGTGAAATATATCATAAGACAAAACATAAAGGGGTCTTGTGTAGTTAAATAGTTTTTATTATTAAAGTTTATTGTTGATAATGCATCAACACATTAATAAAAACTAAGAGGTCTTTGATCAGTTGAATTATTTTTACTATCATAAAAAGAGTAAACATGTATTGTTTTTCCCTTATTAATCTAATAAAATTAGAATTGTGGTTTGCTTTGCTTATGAATGAAATGATGGTTTGATTTGAGAGTTAAGAGTTGAGTGATTTAGTAGACCCAAAAAATTTTCTGTTTGATTTGAAAGTTAATGTATGATATAATGCCAATATTATTTTATTGTCGAGAATTAATACTGAAATTACGATATGGGCCAAGAGAGGGGTGAATTGGAAAATTGTTGCAATAAAATATAATCATAAACAGGAGTTCTAATTTTTTGTGTTTTTAAAACTTAAACAAGAAAATAAATAACGCGGATGCGAATGCTTACAACACAACTTGCAACAGCGAATTTCACTATGATTTTTCACCAAGCAATTTTAATGAAAATAAAATGCAAAAGTAAATAAAAAACAGTGAAGGAAAAATCTCACCATAGATTTTATAGTGGTTTGGTCACTTGACCTACGTCCACTCCCCGGAGTCCTCCACTCCGGGAATTTCACTACTAAACAATAGCTCTCCTTTTGCCCCCACAGCAAGGCGGAGAAGCCCTTACAAACCTCACTTTCACCAACCCTGTGTGGCGAAGTGCCAAGCACTTTGTCACCCTCCTGGCGATGGCAGCGTACCTTATTATTTTTCTCCCTCCTGGAGAAGGCAGAGTACCTTAGAGGACACGGATGTAGAAGAATATCCCCCTCATAGAGCCTCCCATAAGATCTTCTCGGACCATAGGAGGAGCAAAGTACAATAAGCTTGGAGCAACCATGTGATCTCCCTCACACTCCTTCTCCCTCACTAAGCCCACCTTCTCCTTCCTCTCATAAACCCTAAAATCTTCTCAGAGATCTCTCCCAAGGAACCCCACTCTAATCACGTTCCTCTCTCACAATCACACTTCAAAAATAGAAATTTTGATACTTAAAAATAGGCTCCAAGAAATCCTAAAAATTTTAATTTAGCAATTATGAATGTATTGTACGATCAGTATAGAACAGCCTTCGTCCAGGTATGAAGGTTTACGAACAGGCCAAAATTCTGAATATTATCAAACAGTTTGATATAAACTTGTACAGTATGATATGTAAAATCCTTCTATTCGTACAGGATAATTGTTGGGACAACGAAACTCGTCTCTGGACATCGTATGGTATGAATCATTTCATACAGTATGATTAGTACAAAATCAAGGGATCGTCCGGTACGATATTCGGGATGACCGAAAATAGCCTCGATTGATCGTACAGTATGAACAGGGTTGTATAGTACAATAATCAATCAAAAATTAATCCTTAATTTGTGTACTAATCACGAGGTTATTTTAAGTAAGTATTCAAAATATACCACACATTATGAATTAGATCATACAGTATGAATTGTTATTAAACTTACTTAAATTAATCTAGCGGCTAGAATTTTTTAAATTAGAAACACTTCGTATAGTATAAAATAAGTCATACAATATGACTTGTTTACAGATAGCCGTTTCAGCCAAATCAAATCGTATAGTATGATTTACACTTTTACAATACGATCAACAGAGAAAAAAAATTCTTCTTTTTTTAAACACTCTCCCCGTATGTGTGTACATGGTTGCTCAATCTTGTATATAATTTGTGGGCAAACTAAAAAAACAAAAAAAAAATTATAAATAAAAAATTATAATGTTATGGACTCCAACTCCTACTCTACCCAATCTTGAGTCTTCTTGTTGTCCTGAATAACTTATGATCTCCCTGAAATGTTAGTGCTCACAGACAATAGTAGAAATCAAAAATATTCAATAAATAGTAATTGAAACGGCACTATTTATCATCATCAAAATCTCAGACTAGGGTCATGGTTTGCAATAATCTCTCCCTTTTTTATGATGTCAAATAATGTTAGTTATTAGCAATTTTGCAAGGCTTTTTTTGTTTATTAAATTTTTGTTATTTTTAATAAACTAAAATATCACAAAATAAAATATAAAAAGAAAAATGTATTTCATTGAACTTAAACAAAAATATAAGCAGAACATACTGACTACAACATGATATACTAACTACAATAGACTTCTCCCCCTTTTATCATCAACAAAGAGAGGAGTCATAAGCAACACCAAAAAAAGCACAAAATAGATACACTTCAGAAAGGAGGAGCTTGATCACTTGGAGGTGGAGGTGGTTGGAAGTATTAGTGGATTGACGCAAATTATTGAATAATTGAAGTGAAGTGCTCTCCAAACCACCACATGCCTTCTTCATGTTGGTGGTGCTAGTCTTGGATGTCAGCATCAAGGCGACTCTGGAGTTGGTCTAATCGGTCGACCAAGTTATCGTAAGAGTAGGATGGTGCATGTCCTTGGGGTGGTGCATGCCGTCTTTGTGGAATAGGGGCTCCTTCTAGAGCAGCTTCTCCTTCTTCTTCATCAAAGTCTTGTTCTTCAGGCTCTTTGCCCCCAATGAAATAGAATACGGAAAGAGGCATTTGTATAGAAGATTGGTAGATTATCGGGTTCACCATGATAGGTTAATTGGTATTTATTTTAAAGGATGTAACCTATAAGGTGCCAAGGGCTAGATTTTGTTTTCTACGGGTAGTAGGGAGGCAAACGAAGGTCATATTTTAGATATAATCAATAATTAAATTCACCTCATCAAATTTTATGTTTGACATTATAAGGTAGGTAACGATTGATAAGATTGGGGTCATGCGGATTCAGTCGCCAGCTTTGGGTATGATTGAAGTACAAATGATGTGCTGAATAATTCGGACATTTCGAGTTAAGGATTGAACACAAGGCTAGTGTTGATAGAAAACTACATTCCTAAGGGCTAGATTTGTAGCACTCCATTCAAAATCATTTGAGAGGAAGGAATGAGCTCTAGGGCCTTCAGTAGACATCCCAATGTATTGGGCGATGTCAGCCTTAGTGATTTCAACGTATTGTCGGCAAACAAAAGAGTGGAAGGTTAGGGGTTCGACAGTGAAGGTTAGGTTGGCTAGGAATTCAAATAAGAGTTTTGAATTGTACGAAAAGACTTAGGTAAGGAGGAATTGGAGAGTGGTAGATGCGAAGAGGTTCATTACCTCAAAAATTTAAAACAGCTTGATTTAGCATCTAAGACGGTGTAATTTTGTAGGCCTTGTATTTATGATAGGCTTCTTCATTTTCGGGAGTTAGGAAACATTCATTAGGATGGCGAGAGGAAGATAAGCTTCCAATGACGAGACGACCGCGCTTGCTAGAGCTTGGCATTTCTTGAAGAAGGGTGATACTAAGTGAGGTGAATGAAGAGTGAGGGAAAGGAGCTTCAGATTCAGTCAATTTATAGAATTTTGAAACTATCATACAATATGATCGAAGATCGTATAGTGCGATGGGTAATTATGTCATCTGAATGAGCGGTTGGAAAAAGATGGTCAAATCGTACAATACGTTATAACTCATACAGTACGAATAGAAGGATTTCAATTGTCCTAAGGGTTGCTGGTACGACCTATAATGAAAAGCGTCGTACAGTACAAACATG